AGTCATGTCCTCAATTTTATGCACATAGAAATGTACAGAATACGAAGGAAAAGCTCATACAGCAAAATTCAGGTTATCAATAACTCGATCTCTCGCCATTTCTGAGGTAATTAATTTCGTCAAGACTTTCCTGTCATCCGCTGTTAAAGTACTTTTTGTCACAAACATCATCGACGATAGTAATAGAAAATTATTATATGATATTATTATGAATCTATTTTTAAAAAATTAAAGCGGGATGTGTATTTCCATTTATCAATATGTAAACTAAGAATTATGTGAAGTAGACAGTGTAGATTTGTATGCATATATATTTACGTATTTATATGTATCATTCTATTATTCTTAGGACACAGACAATATGGACGATTGCCGATAAACTTCTGTCTCAAAATACAGCATTTAGACGATGTGCTTGTGTTACAGAACTTCGTACGTAATATTATTGGTATGCGGAGCAAGGCGTATATGGAGTGAGAGACGTTAGTGTTTAAGAAGGGCCTGGTAAAGTTTTCGCCATTTGTCTGGTGAGAAGTCCGTGAACGAGTCGTACATTATGGGGATGTGTATGGGGAGAACGGGATGTACGTTCCTAATATTTTCTACAAGAAGCGTCCATGGTGCACGTAAGAAGAAAAAGAATTAAGAAGTACAAAACATAGCACAGGAAAGGTGCGGGAGAAGGAGTAATAGAATAATAGTACAAGGTACGGCACAGGAAGAGTGCAAGAGGGAAGAAAAAAATATAATAGAAGAAGAGAAAAATAATAGAGATGAATATGACGGACTGTTCACTGAGAGGATACACATTATGACGTTAACTCTCATATGATGAAATAAAGAAAGGGTTTTGTTAACAGGACAATTAATGTATTCATTTATGAGTGAAGTGTAATTGGAAGAATTATATCCAGAAATTACTTGAAAAATTTATTTACTATCAACATTTATTAAAATGTTATAAATTGTACCTGGATTTGTTTATGTATTTAGACTGTCGGCATTGCTGTCTGGGGCTAGTGAGTAATTCAAAATTTAAATGCACACTTCTTTACCGTATTAGTCCGAATACTGTAAAGGGATAGTGACAGCTTTTTATATATATGTTGTTTACTTTAGAATTGCTCATTTCTGCCCAAACATCCAAAGTGGAATCAGTCTTTAAGTTGTGTTAAGTTTTAATTTGATAGGATTTATTTATTTAAATTATTCACTTGAATTACAATATGCTCAATAATATTTTCGGATCAAATCACTATTTTAGAATTAATGTGAATTCATTCAAGGACATTTTGTTTCATATCATTTTGATACATCAAGACTGTTAGTGCATCGCTAGATTCCATTTTATTGGTACATCAACACTTTCAATATTGAAATTGCCGCTGGAATACTGTAAGTTCTGTTTAAATTCTCACTTTATATTCTATGTAACAAATTATTTGTTAAATTGTACTAAATTTATTGTTTTTCACTCTTTTTGTTACTTAGTTTAAGACTATAGAGTTGTAACAGTTAAATTGATGTATCTCGCTGTTTTGTCAGCCGGGACAGGAAACATTAAAATGCAAAGGTGCAAAGGCTTAGCATAGCAATATTTTACTAAAGTTCTACTTGAATAATTTAACTGGTGCAGAAGGATGGTAACCTATACTCTTTTACACAAAATCTGAACAATTATACTTTTCCGAGACCCACGTCGTCAGAAATCGGTCACACGATAGACAACAACTACATATGTAACATACATAAAAATATGCCCAATAGTGTTTTAGCTAAATGATTTCTCTTACGTTTGGGAATAGGAAACCTGTGTATTCAACAAAGCTTCTAGGTTCTGGTATGTTGAGAATGGTTTGAATTCATGATATCCCATTTTTCCCATTGTGCCTCAAGAAGTGAAGGAGACCATGAGAATTAGATTGGTAAATCTAATTTTTCCTCCTTCTTTCTTTCAAATCATCAATTGAACATAGATAATTTTCATTTCTCTTTCAGAGCATAAAAGAAACGAATAATATTGTGACCCGGTAAAGAAACCATACACCAACAAAAGTTGATCACATTCAAAATATCATGTGTGATGTAATAACTTGCAAGTAATCCATACTGGTTTATTCTCACTCCAGATACAATGTGTGGTGTCGTGAACGCTGCCTCCCAACAAATTCTGTACCAAAGTTACATTTATCTTTAAACAATTTGGTAGCCCTTTAGTTGATGCAGGAAAGCTTCCAAGTACAATTCCTCTTCATGAACACTTCAAACTGTAGAGTGCAGGGTGGTCCAGTCTTGAAACTATCTTGTGTGACACGATGAAATCTGTATGAATTACTGTTTAATATAAGTCCTTCACGTCTGTCTTTTGCCACTAACTAAGCTTAAGGTTTTTACAGAATTCAATTCCCATATAACTTCATTGTACTTGCTCTTGATATCAATTGCTAAATCCCACATATCTCTTGATGTGTACAATTTGGAAATAGATTTGGCATAGTCAGTTGAGAGTCTAATTTAATACATTCAAGTTCTTCGAAAAGAACAATGCTAATACCGCTTTGTATTTGTCTCCCAAATCTTTGAGGAAGGTCAAAGTAAATAACATTACCGTTAGAGTGCTTATAATGCGGATACACATAAAGAAATATCATTAATTGAAATTTAAGAAGTGGATTTAAAACAATTATATAAGTTAATCTATTCTATTGAGAATATGGAAGAACAATTTAAATATGCTGCTTAAATCCGAGCATAAAGTCAAGGAATTAACTGAGATTCTTTATTATTAAAAATAGGTTAGAAAAAGAGAAATAAAACGTTGGCAAAAATGTCAAAATGTTTAGTCTCAATATCAAAGTTTTCCCAAATTTAGTTAGACAAGAAAAGATATTGGCGAGCCTTAGATATCTTTTGATTAGGTTTTCCAGCCTGTTGATAAGTGTAACACGATCTATAGTATTTAGACTATCACTTGTAAAATTTAGACAATTAATATTATTCAAGATCGTTTGATAATTCCTATTTACTCCCGAATGACCACAGAAGGGCCTGACTAACAATTTCCTGTCAAATTTTGACATCGTAGCGACAATTTGATAGCTTATAGTCCACTCATCGCTGGTCTCCAATGTAACAAAATAACAAACTGGTACTTGTGTCGCTTCAGTATCGCTAATAGCCTTCTGAAACAGACAGGATAAATCAGGATCCTGTTCCTGTTTGACAAAGACTCTTTGTCTTTTGTCACATAATTATAATAGAAAATGAATAGAAAATGTTTGTTTATTTGTGTTATTCGTTCAACCTGGCTGTAAACAGGACGGCAACACAAACTTTAAGCAAAACTTCACATTCAAAATTGAAACTACAACAGAACTTATATTACTTAACATTTATTTGTCAACAATATAGAATCATATATGTTACAAAAAGTTAAATGGGCTACAATTTTCAGTTTACGAATCTATGACTTAAATTGTATAACCCTTTCTTATATTAGGATAAACGACAGTTTCGTTAACTTTATTGCGTTATTGACATTTTTGAAGAAGATGAAAAAAGCTTGAAACACGAAAAGAAATGGACCAAGATTGGCAGAGTGATAATTGGTGCTGACCGTTACGGATTACTGCCATCTCTCTGCCGTCTGTGTGAGTTCAAGTCTCGAGCTTGGTTAACAAGGGCATGTGAAAAAAACCTGCCAGTAGCGTCTCGTAGGTCGGTGGTTCTTTCGGGGGTTTTCGTGAGTTCTTCCTCCACTGGCCGCCATGTATAACCTATCTTGTGCTATAAAATGGCCTTAAAACCCTACAACAACAACAACAACAACAGCAACAACAACAACAATGAATTTTTAAAAAAAGATGAATCGCATACAAATTTAATAAAGCATTTAATATTTCTTCATAAAGTTGTCGCCAATATAAAACCAATATGTTTCTAAATCTGACAAAATAACATCAACAGAATGTACATTAGCACACAGTCCATATAAAATTAGGGAGGAAACCTTTGAGAGCTTGTGACTTGGAACAAAACAGTTAATCCAAATTATGGAAAAAGTAATATTCATGGCACTTGGGAAACTTATATATATATATATATATATATATATATATATATATATATATATATATATATATATATATATATATATATATATATATATATATATATATATATATATATATACATATATATACATATATATATATATACATATATATATATATGTATATATATATATATTATTTTGTTATATATATTTTATTTTATTATTTATATATATATATATATATATATATATATATATATATATATATATATATATATATATATATATATATATTATTTTGGAGACATTATTTCATTGATCAGTGTTTGCATGAAATCCTTAAAATGAAGACCTGCTCATAATGAACAATCCATACTATGAATTAAAAATGCAGATGGTCGGTAAATTTAAAATTACCTAATTATCAGTGAACACATAGCAAGTTCGATTATCTTTCTTTACATATTTCAACACAACAAGTACAAACATGTCACCCTTCTTTTTCTTTGTTAATATAGCACACCTGCATATAGCTCATGCATATAGGTCAGGAATATAAGTCATGCAAAAATAGGTCAGGTATATCCTGCAATGCTTCTAAATGTTAAAGGTTTTTCTTTTAAGCAAACACTTTGATGCGTAAGTACCACAATATATACGACAATCGTTAAACTTCGCTTATTTTCATAATGGATGAAAATTAAGGTGATTATTATAAAGTAAACCTAATCATGAAAAAATTCATTTTAAAAAAAATGTAAATGGGTAAATATTATACAGCAGTAGCATTCGAGATTCGTTGAAGTTCTGAATGACATTTAAATTTGTTTGAACAATATCATAACTTGAGACATTAGACAATTTCCTTCCTTCTTCATCAAACGTATTAGCAGAAAAACTCATTAAGGGGTAGAGGCTATGCATTTACAGATTTGCTACAAAACATGGCACCACTCCGGTGGCCTAGTGGTTAGAGTATCCGCCTGAGATGCGGAAGGTCATGGGTTCGATCCCCGGTCGAGTCATACTATAGACTTACAAAAATGGTACTAACAGCTGCCTCGCTTGACGCCCAGCATTAAGAGGTTAGTGTTAGTACTGATCGGCTTGTGTCAGAATAATGTGACTGGGTAGGATATCATGCCACATGTCTGCGGCATGATGCCCCAGTGATATACATTACTATAAACTACCACACTGCATACATCGCAGCGATATGACTGAAAAAATTGTTGAAGGTACGTTAAAAATCATAATCACATCACATCACAAAGCATGGCTGCTAGAAAGACTGTATAGAGGTTAAATTTAGCCTGTGAAAGATATTCTCTTGTAATTAATTCACACAAAATTTAAAACAGAAATAAGCTAATATACCGGATGATGTTTCGTAATTGAATACTTTGCACTGGATATATCGTTTATTTGAATGACAAATACTCCCCCCTTTTTGTTTTTGTGCTACAGCAACAATTTTAAATGACTCTTTGAAAAGATCGTCTGAGACCATCATAAAGCAATTTCGATAGATGCATGTAAAAATAGATGACATTAGGAGATTTCAAAGTTATTTTATATTTATAGAAAAAATTATGGCAGTTGAGCCATGTTACATAAAATCTGTTAGAACAGATGATACATGACCATTGCGTACAGAAATATATATTGCCTCTAAATCATCTTTTGGAAGAATTTCTTAATGTCTGTATGAATAATTACAAACTGGACTGTGTTACTTAGTACAGATTTCATTCATACGCACGTGTCTGTGATATGTTTCTGGTTATTAGAATATAATAAGAGATGCAATTAGCATTCTATCGCAGAGATATGTTAAACAAACGATGATGAGGTCTATGGCATTCAGTATGAACCCTTAATTCTATCAACCTCAGATTCATTAGCCGGTAATCAGTTTAAATGGGCAACCGATGAACAAATTAGACGGAAGAAAAAATGTAATTCAAATACAAGGTGATTTTGATACAGTTGGTATTTTAGAAGTGGACATGGAGACTATTGCATGTAAGTGACCATTATAAGGATTACCCATTAGTTTCATGAAAATTATTTCCTGCTGAAAATATTATGTAACAATTACATAGAGGTCAATAAATAATTTCAAGGTATAAAAGCAACCGTACCAAAACTATTTTGTGCATTGGAAACAAAATGTAAATATGTTATTCGCTAGAAATACGGTTTTATAAGATAACTGTTATGTTGCATAAGAACAGTCCTAATCAAACTGACAACATAACGTGTTGGCAAATACAAAAAGGACTGTGATGTCAAACTGATATTCTAAAAGTACTCCTTTCTTTTGGTCTGGAATAGCATGGTTCTCTTCAGGCACAGTTTCCATTGCCTCTATTGGCCCTGCTATAAAGCACAAGAAAAACTCAAAAACATTCTGAAGATTGCATTATATTGCAGAGAACGGTGGCATGTATCATATGATTATGTTTTCGTTACATGTTGTCTCTGACATGATTCATACCAAGCATACGATTATTTTAAAATAAATTGATTGTCAGAGTAAAAGGTCTGAACACCTAATCTACTGTTTTAATATTTGTACGTTTACGTTCCTCGCTTGCGGTTTCTGCAACCCTTCTATAACTTAGAAATCTTGCCAATGGCCACATTGGCGGAGCTTTTGTAGTCACTGCAATCTTTTGCTGGTGAAGTAAAATATAATTCTGGATAACTTTCTCCACATTTTTGCAGTGTTTAAAAATTACTCTTAATTTAGTAAGATTTTAAATGTTTTATTGACTGTGAAGCAGATCATTCTTTCCTTTACTATGGTAATGCTTTCATGAGAGTATCTATCAAGCACTGACAGTGCATTCCATTCAGAAGTAATCGTATTGAACGTAGGAAAATCCCATTATTTCCGGTTTATATTCCTAGTTTTCCTAGTTAATACCATTTATGACTTTAGAGGCTTTTGCAGATGTTTTATTGAATCTGAAATCTAATTAATCATGTACATCAAAAGAGAATTACACGACATGATACAGCCAGTATGCTTTGGCTTAATTTTGTATTTTTATCGGTAAAGTTTCAGTAGGTTTCATGCTGCTCTGTTGTGTGTGTTTGTGTGTGTGTATGTATGTATGTATATATATATATATATATATATATATATATATATATATATATATATATATATATATATATATATTCTACTACAAGATTGTACTATTGACTACATGGATAGCACTGTCTGTTCTGTCTGGTATATATTTATAATTCTTTGTAATACAAAAATTCTATATACCTTGATTTCTTTCATAGGAATCTGGAACGACTGTCTATATATATATATATATATATATATATATATATATATATATATATATATATATATATATATATATATATATATATATATATATATATATATATGAGAATTATTTACTAAGTCGTCAAGCGAGTGTGACTGCTACGCACGAGCTTATATAACACCGATTCAGTGCCATCATTTTTTTTGGTGATGCATGCTTAGTCGTGTCGGTATATGGGTTTGTGCGTGCAGGCAAGGCGATGGGTGCCATTTACTCACGGACCTGAGTTCGAAATTCCGTAGAGTACGAATTTAATTTCTCTAAGCAGTATGATAGTATTGTTTGTATTAAGCTATTATTTCTGCCCACTATTATCAGGATTCTACTACAGAATCCAGGGATAGCACTGTCTGGTTTGTCTGGTATATATTTGTGTTTCTTTGTAATACAAAAATCGTATATACCTTGATTTCTTTCATAGGAATCTGGAACGACTGTGTATATAAAGGAGAATTATTTACTAGGTCATCATGCGAATGTGTCTGTTACGCACGAGCTTATATAACACCGATTCAGTGCTATCATTTTTTTGTGATGCGTGCTTAGTCGTGTCGGTATATGGGTTGGTGCGTGCAGGCAAGGCGATGGGTGCCATTTACTCACGGACCTGGGTTCGAAACTCCGTAGAGTACGAATTTAATTTCTCAAACCTGTATGATAGTATTGTTTGTATTATATATATATATATATATATATATATATATATATATATATATATATATATATATATATATATATATATATACACACACACAATCACCCCCTTTAACAAAAATTCTAAATTGTGAGACAATCTAAGACAATTTTACAGATGTTGTTTCTTATTCATGGAAATTCGGTCAATTGTGTGAAGTCCATGCGGACACAATTGCCTTTAGAATCTCAAACCAAGCATCATTACACTGATTATAACAAACAAAACTTTATGTATTTACTTTACAGTATAAAATGTGCCGTCGTTTCTAGTGTTTGTCAAATATTTTCTTCTTGCTCTTAATATTCGTGTTTTGAGCAAATTCTATGAGCCGTATAATTTATTTCTTAGCCACTCTGTAAATTCTCCAGACAAATTAAGGCTTGATTTTTGCAAAAAACAAATATTCCACATCTGAAGTGTGAGTTAGTCTTTTGAAAGAATGCTTTATCAAGTAATTTACAAAGAAAAAATATCATAAGTTTTGGTAAATTGTTTTCTTTGAAAGAAAGTTTAGTCGAATCTTTTTGCATCATAAACAGTTTTTACAAGTGAATTTTTTTAACAGGTTGGATGGTACATTCCGAATCTTAAAAAGAAGATAAATTTGTATATTTTTAAATCAAATTGTTCTCTTGTTAGGATCATTGCGTGCGAATATTATTATTATCTGACAAAATGAATAAACTTACTCAATTGGATCTATATTTTGACTACATTTGATTCACCTGTGTCAGCATATTCGTGAAATTCTAGTTCCTGAGAATAGAAATAATTGTTCTACAGTCTTCTAAATCAATTGTCACTGTACATATAAATGGTATACTGTACTTGTAGATGGCATACTGTAAGGGAGGACTTATGTTGTATTTTTGGTTTGTATGAAGTGCCGGATTTATCGTATTGATCAGGTTTCAAGGCAGTAATAATTCCATTTGTTTAAAAGAACATAAAAATGAGTGACTGTGGCGATGTTTTTATGGAAATCTGTTTGTTTTCAGTCATGAATCGATATATACGCATTACACTGACAGGGTTAATTTGCTTCATAGTGTAGCTCTACAACATTACATTAGCCTCGCATACGTACAAAATTAATTTAATAGTTTTGTAAAGAGGACTCAATAAATTTGTCTAAATCACATCATGTAAATGAATGTTATCTGCTACTGTTGTTTGACAGGAAACTATTAGTATGTTGGCTTAATATTATCAGAAAACATCAAAATAAAAGCTGTGTCATTTTTAGCAAACTAAGTATAGAAAACATAGTCGCTTTTTCCATCTCTTCAGTTTAAACCCTATATTTTCTCCTACACTTTTGTAGACCAGATAGTGAGAAATAATTGAATATTACTTTGGGTAGACATAATATCAGCATATACTCTTGTGATATATTTCAAATATGACTTAAAATGTATATATCTCGTAATATGTTATCTGCTAAATTGTCTATTAGTTTTGACACCAAGTCATATTCAAGATTTTTCCCATACCACCCACCCACCGAACACAAATAGGATCTGAAAGAAATCTCATTCAGATCAGCGGATCGTCCAATTTCTGTTTTATATTATTTTAAAATGACATATAGCCACCATGTTCCAAATCATCTTCATTTGTCGACTTAAAACGTGCACCTGTAATTTTAATTTACCAGATCACTTTATGTTACTAATCCTCAAAGAGGAAGCAAATTCTGATCACGTGTGTAACATCCAGGGTCTTTACTTAAGCCGAAAGGTCAAGTTTTAAACCAACACGGCGGATAGGAGGTCTTCATCGTTTATTCCTGCTGGACCCTCTTTCGTAAGTAAGCAGGATCGCGTATTTGGTTGACCAATTCTCAGAACACATACATTTTGTCAGTGCGTCAATGTTCTTACACCGATTATAATGTAATGTCAAAATTAAACGCAAAAGTATCTTTTCGTTTCTCCATCAGCAAATGTAATACAAATGACAACTAATGTATTTT